TCTCTCTCTCTCTCTCTCTCTCTCTCTCTCTCTCTCTGTCTGTGTGTGCACGTGTGTGTATCTGTTTGTGGCATTTAGCTTGCCTCTATCATCCAGAGGTGGTTCCAACTTGCCACATATGCATTTGACTCCCCACCACATGTGTCGCATATCGCCAGCTTTATCCGTGTGTGGGGCCATCCGCTCGATAGGATATTTCTGGATGGAGGCCTGTGCAAGTAGGTAGGAGAGAGGGAGAGGGAGGGAAACACGAACCTGTTGAATTGTTGCGGACACCTGTATACAACTTGCTGTACGAAGACTTCGAGTGACAAGCAATTCGAAGTGTGCTCAACATCATGCTTGTGAAGTGCAAGTTGTGTGTGAAGCGTTGGTGTCCCAATGAAGTTTGAAGCAAAAAGAAAAACAAAAGAGGAAGGAAGACAGAGGGTTGGTTGCCGACTGGGAAGTCGCCCTCCAGCGCTCCTATGACAGTACCCACCTGGGTCGATACCCGACCTCTATAACAAAAAAGAGGAAGGACGACAGAGGCCTGAGAGCAAGACGTGAAGGTATTTTGATGATATTAAAAAGATACAAGAAGAAAAAGTAAGTGGGGTTCTGCTAACTCTTGGTTAACTTTGCGTTTTCTCGCTGATGACACAGATTTTATACCCTGTAGAAGGCGGCAGACAAGATCCAATAATGGCGGCAATTGGACAGCTTCAATTTGAGGTATGTCTTTCTATCTTATTTGTAGTAGTTTGTAGTACTTTGTACCTGTTTCGATTTTTATTTACGTACATAATCTATCTACGGCGATTCTACGGTTCGCTTGCTTTCATCTGTTCCGCGACTTTTAATTTACAGAAGGAAAAGACTGTAGCTCAATATTCACTACCATCTTCACCCAAATAGAACGCCCACGCCCGGTCATTGTAGTTGTTTTTGGTGGAGCTTTCAGTCCGGATACAGCGATAATTACCGGGCATTCTATTCGGGTGAAGACGGTAGTGTCATGTGGTATGTGTTTCAGGGCGAGGCGTCCTCAATGATGCTGTCTCTGATAAGTTAGGGTTGTTGAGTGGGGGGAGGCACTGGGTGCCCGGTTGGGATTAATATTGAATGGGTACCAACGGGGCTAGCTCAGTGGGGACCACACCCATGAACGGTTGAAATACAAACCTGAGCTCGAATCCAGCTGATGGAACGAGACGAATGAAATCAATTAAATGCTGAACTACCTGGGGCCGTTTAGTTCGATAATGATATCTGACGGCAGTCACCCTTTCATCAGGGGGGAAAAAAAAGAGGATTATTTGACAGGTGGTAAGTTAGGATTCTTAGGAAGGATCATAAATAGGGCTAGGTTATCACAATTTGCTGCAGACATAGCGCCACTCACTTCTTCACATTCTCCAAAGCAGTTCCTGACTTGCAGCCAAAAACCCTTAGTGTACCCTCCCTCCC